GAGCCTTTTGAACAGCTCGGTTCAAGACTGATGACTCAGCGTAATGATGTCTCTGTCATGTGACTGGTCTTGTCTTGCTCATGTGAGATAATTTAATGTAAGTGCACGTATCATATAGGGAACCACCCTCTTCAAATAGTATATATTTACATCTATATATATGCACAACAACATTTTATATACATGAGAGAGCTATGCTTGTGAGAGTGAGAAATTTATGTAAATAGAGAGATTTACGTGAGATCTTTTAAAATTTGAGTGAGATTATATAAGATATGTGAGAGAAAGGTTTTAAGCTAGGGGAATCTACATCAGATTATTTAGGATATAGATGAAGATTTTTAGAATCTCTATTTATTTTTGGTTCTTTACTCACCCACTTGTCCTTAAAGATCCAAAAAGTATATGCATGGACTAATTGACCTAAAAAATTATAATTGTAGGTGTTATAATCTTGGTTTTAGTGCTATTATTGGGAATTTTGGTTTGTCTTTCAACCCTTATGGCTCGGGTCTCTTTGTTCATAAGACTAAGTATGACACTATTCTATTTCTTCTCTACATAGATGATATGATTATCACTTGGTATAATGTTTATAGTATTTTTGATGTCAAATATTTTCTCAACGCACACTTTGAGATGAAAGATCTTGATTCTCACATCTATTTCTTGGGCATAGAGATCTCGTCTGACTCTTATGGCTAGTATCTCTCTCAGGCTAAGTATGTCTCTAATCTTCTTACTTGTGCTGGACTCACTGATTCCAAGATTGTAGCTACCCCATTAGAGCAAAATGTTCGTCTTACTCCCTTGGATGGCATACCTCTCTCTATGCCACTCTTTATCGCCAGTTGGTAGATAGTCTTGTGTATCTCAGTGTTACTCACCCGAATACAGCTTACACTGTTTATCTTGTTAGCCAATTTTTTACTGCCCCTTTCTCTACTCATTATGTTGATGTTCTTTGTATTCTACGATATATTAAAGGTACTCTGTTTCATAGTCTCCATTACTCTACTCACTCATCTCTTGAGATATGTGTCTTTTTTTATGTTGACTGGGCAGGAAATCTTGTTGATCATCGTTCTATCATTGGTTATTATTTCTTTCTGATCGACTTTCTCATATCTTGGCGTAGTAAGAAACAATCTGTTATCTCTCGATCCAGTACAGAGGCATACTATCGCGCTCTTGCTAACGCTACCTAGGAGCTTTTTTTGACTTCGTTGGCTTTTAGAAGATTTATGTGTCTCTCATTCTGGTGTTACTATAATTTGTTGTGACAATCGAAGTGCGATACAAATTGCTCACAATGATGTTTTTCATGATCGCATTAAACATATTGAGATTGATTGTCATTTTGTGCAACAACATGTGCTTCGAGGCTTAGTTCATCTTGTCTCTGTTACTTAATCTTACTAAACTATGGACATCTTCACTAAGGCACATCCGTTGGACCAATTTCATAATTTAATTTCCAAACTCCAGTTGATTTCTATATTAAATCCTTGAGTTTGAAGAGATATGTTAATGTATATATGTTTGTCTCACATCAGTTAAACTTGAAAACTTCATAGCTCTATTGTACTATAAATAAACCTCCCAATGCATAGAATAATTTACACTAAAATAATATACAATTGATATTCGCTTTCTATTCTATTCTTTCATAATTTTAATGCATATGCCCTCTATTTAAAAATCCAATGGCCACAAAAAAAAAAAAAAAGACAACAAGAATTACTAAAAAAAAAAAAAAAATGGGGCTATACCACAAACTATATATATACACACACATACATATATGGCGCTACACCAAAATGGAAAACCAATGTAAAAAATACCTACGATAACAATCTATATAATAAAGTAGCTTATAATTCAAATGTCAAGATATAAACAAAATAACTTTTACTATTCGCAGTTGAAATCGTTTTAAATTTTACTTTAAAGTTAATTTAACAGCTAATATTAACACCCAAAATTTAATAAGAAAAATAGGTCCCTAAGGAAGTGTTTGAGGTGACTTTTTAAAAGTACTTCTAACAATTATTTTTCATAAACATTTATAAAAAAAAAATAGTGTTTAAAACCGTCTTACCACCATCGCTGCCACCACTATCGCCACCGTCGCCGCCACCACCACCACCATTACTGCCCACACCGCCATCACCACCTCCACCGCTCCCATCACCACCACCGCCATCGCCTTTCTCACCGTCGCTGCCACCACCACCACCGTTGCCGCCGCCACCACCATTATCGTCGCCCTCATCGCCACCACGGTCATTGCCATCCACAACCACCAACACTGCCGCCTACCACCTCTCACCCCCACTTCAAATTGATGTTTAAATTCTTTTATTTCTTCTCTATATTTGTGATTTGATTTTAGATATGAATACAAATATGTTTATTGTTTATCATTTTTATTACTCTGTATCTTCAGGCATAGGTAATACCTAGTATTTATATATTATATTACCTGATTGATTTATGTAATTGAAAATAATTAATAGTAAAGCATGGAACCTATTTATATTGAATAGATTATATGAGGCATATTCAATAAACCCAGAATTCCCTGTTAACTAAAAACATGACATGAATCTTATTATTTAGATATTTTATTAGAAAATCAAGAAAACAATAATCCTTCTAACGATATTTAGATCGATTGGTACCTTATTTTTACTTGCTAGATGTGTTCAATTAAGAGTAATAGCTTATCATAAGAGCTCTTGTTCTGCAATACATTGAGTATATCAGTCATCTTGAAGTTATAATCATATTTTTTTTTCTTGTACAAGAATTATGATATTATTGTTGTGAAAAAATACTCCTCCTATTTTGTTCGGTGTTCAATTTTAAAAAATAAATAAATAAAATTATGTAACGCTCGACTTATCTTCGTAAACACTTGACATATTAACTGATACTGATTCTTCTTTTAAAACTACATTGATTCTATTGATCCGGAACCAGTTGATGCATTGATGATTTTGTGTGTGAGATAGTATCAAACATGCGTCTCACAAAGACAATCATATCACGTTTTCATCTCAAAAATATATATTTCTAAAAAAAAAGTTGTATATTCATTTCGTTGATCATTTTGATGGTTCCTAAAGTTTAATTTATACTACTTATAAATGTCTGTATCTGCAAAAAATTTTTGATTTTCTATTTTACTCCTAATTATTACACTAAAGACAATTATGTCCACAAAATATTAGCTAAATAAACTTTATCTCTATGACTTCCAAATTTTTTGATGCTATATAAATTTTATCACTGTATATTAGTTAGATAAAATTTATTTCTATTACTTTCAAAATTTATCTCAACTAGAATTCTAATATGATGTGAAAAAAAAAAAATTGTTATTTTTAGCTAGATAAACTTTAACTCTATGGCTTCCAAAATTTTTGTTACTATATGTATCTTATCACTATATATTAGTTAGAAAAAATTTATCTCTATGACTTTCAAAATTTATCTCAACTAGAATTATAATATGATGTGAAAAAAATTGTTATTTTTTAGGATATAAACACAATCATAAAAAATTCATTATTCGTTGTTATATAATAGAATATTAGAAGAGTAAAGAGCTAAACCCATATATTTTTTTTTTCTTTCATACTTATTAGACTTCTAAAATATTTTGAACAATTTTATTAGAAATATATATATATATATATATATATATATATATATAGAAAGATAGACATATATCTCTCCAGTAACTTCATTAACATATTTGGTCTTATATCTCAGCAGGGTCGATGGTGTTTAGTGTTGTAAACCTTTGAGCTTTTTTTTTCTTTGTCAGAGCATAGCTATTGCTGGTATGATATTATCTTTTCTTTGTTTTTCATCTATTTGGGTATGACTATTGCATAAATATTCTATTTACCTTACAGCAGGTTTTGTAGTCAATTGAATTGGTGTTTCTATCAAAGTGATAATGAACACCTAGAAAAAGGTACTTTTCATGGAATGAAGAACTTAATCTGTTAAATTAATCTTCTAATAATTAATTGTTTATTATTAGTAGGCTTGTAGTGTTTTAGGAGTTATTATATTACGAGTAGAATTAGTTTTGTTATCAAACTTCTTGAATTCAGTGGTGATAAAATAGTTTTAGATTAGTAAATTATATTTAAGAGTTTTCTTAGTCTTATGTTGTAATGTCATAAATTCTCATTGGATTCAAGAAGTCATTTAATGCATATATAGCAGTCTTTTGTTTTGTCAATTTCATACACTTTGTATTTTCTAAAAATATAATCTAAATTTTATGATCTAATTTTTTTCACGTGCAACGCACGCGTGCATTACTAGTTATAAAGATGTCTCCATGCGAATAGTTTTATACTCAGCTGGACCTCACGAGGTGACATTATCATTCAAAATGTGATTAGAGTGAAAGGCTAATCAATTACTTTTACTAGTCGAATGTATACGAATGTGTCGTTGTTTTGAAAGTTCTAAGGGGAGAATTTTTGAAGAAGAGATGTGGTACTCAGTGATTAGGAAAATATCACAATTTATTTCCAAGGATAAAGACAGAGAGTTTCTATTCCACCACTCAATTTTACTGGAACGGATAAAAAACAACCTTGTATTACTTTTCCTCAACTTGTGTGGACACCAAAAGATGTGAGTCAAAGTAAGCTTTGTGTGGGTCCAACTAAAAGGGTCATTTTCCAGAAATTCTTCTATGAGTTACACGCCCAACCACTTACGATTTTTCAATTTTGAATAAAAAATGGTGTATTTTATTAATTATAGAGTATCATTGAGAAAAAAAGACATTAAAAAATTTGGAACTCTCTCCTTTCAAATAAAAACACTCTCAATAAATCTCGCTTGCTTGGCAACATTAAAAGTCACTCTATTTTCATTTTCCGAACCATAGTTATCTCGTAATAACTAAACTTTTGTAGCTCGGACATCACATTTTCCAAATTTTTGTTCACAAAAATCATTCTTACTTGAGCTTCCCTTTCCTTGATTGAATGCATAAACTGAATGGAATCCCCTTCCAAACTCATTTGCAACATTCCTTGATCCCTACAAAAACACATGGCCTCCTTCGTAACAATGACTTCGACCCTTATTGCCACCTCCCTGGACTTAACCTTCTTAGTTGTCCCAGCTAATAGACACCATTCATGTCCTGATAACAACCCCAACACCCACATATTGACCTTCCAAAAGTATAACCCCACAAAAAATAATTTTCAGTAGACCAATTGAAAGTGGTGTATAAGACGCTAAAATTGATCGTATATGCCCATTTCTTAAACAAATATGTTCATGCTTTGTATATATTTGGATAAATTTTAGACATGTTAGAGTTTAATTTATAATTTTTCTAAAAACATTAATGAACCTTTTGTTATTATATAAAAATTAGGATTAATAACTAAAATTACTTTAGATATAACACTAAAATTTTTTATTTTTTAAGTACCATAAGTCTATGTCGATGAATTGTTCGTCAACAATAAAATTTTTAAATTGGCTCATACTCAAAATATATTTTTTTTTGGTTAAGGATACGATATAGACCATCAATCTTAAATTAAATTATCTATAACTATTGATAAAAAAAAACAAGAAAACAAAAAAATAAACATGGTTCATTTTTATTAATTAAAATCTAAAATTATGGTATCGGAAATATACTTTTTCGTACTGTAATAGAACTTTCTTCTGTGGTCAAAAATTTAAATGTCATACTCTTTTTTTTTGGTAAATAAACAATTCAAAGTTCATACTCAAAATATAAGTGTTGTTGTATGGAAAAAAGATTTTTGGACACCGTACTTTCGTTTTTTAACCAATAAAAACATATCAAAACATCTTATTTTATAATTTTTTTTATTACTTATTATTTTTAATTACTAATTGTGTATTATTTTATTTAAAATTAATGATTGATACAACAAAATTATACTTTTTTTTATGTTTGGTGTAGAAGTGGTGTGGCACTTACTAATTAGCAAAATATCACAATTTTTTTCCAAGACTCAAAAGACTTGTAGTTTTTATTCCACCAACCAATTCAATTTTGGGTAAATTATAACGGATATCTCCAATGTTATGCATTAAATGTCATTTCAATCCTCAATATTCTAATTGCATCAAATTAATCCCTCTTATTTTTAATTTGATTTTAAATGATTTTCATGAATAACCGTTAGGTGCTCTATTCACATGTCTATGTAAAAAAACCGTTATTCATGAAAATCATTGAAAATATCAAGGACTAATTTAATATAATTAACATATTAAAAACTAAAATAACAAAAAACGCATACATTGGGAAACTCCACAGCAATTAACCCATTTCGTTTTCAAGTCCAAGAATGGGTTTTTATTCCACCACTCAATTTTATTGATGGTGAAATATGAAAGGAAAAGGAAATGACATTGTCTTAAATTTCCTCTGGTATGAATAACGCGCAGATTCTAAAGAAGAGTCATATGTGTCCCACACCACCATTAAAGCTTCATGTGGGTCCAATCAAAAGGGGCATTTTCCTACTATCTTCAATTTTGCATCTCGGAAAAATAGAAGGGATCACTTTACCCAAATTTTTTGAGGAGTAATATTGTTTAAATTTTATATATTGACACAATATATTAATTTAATTTATTATTTGTTAATTTGATCTAAGTATCAATGTTGACTCAATTATGGACCAAATCAGTCTGAATGAGGAGTTAGAAGAAACATTGGTATGGTGTTCATTCCATGTGTCAAGCGAACCAAAACTAAACATGATTATATAAGCAACATTTTGTGAGGAGGAGGTTCAAGTAAAAAAGAAAATAAAAAAGGAAGTTTCTTTTAACTTCAATAGAATTTCATTTACGAAAAAGTTATTGATAATATTTATTAATCAAATTTTATATTATTGTTCAATTGAAAGTGGAATCTGTTTTATATTAAGATTCACTATTAATTTAACAAACTTATTTGATATTGAAGAGATGGTATAGTGTATGTTAAAGAATTCCATAAATCCTAACTAGGTAAAAACAAGAGGGTAGAAGAGAAATAGACAAAAAAATTTCTTTAAATTTATTGCCCAAATTAGCAAGAAACAGGAGTTAAAGTGGTATTTGATAAGGTCTCAATTTTATGTGTCCAGAGAGTAGAGAGTCTGAAGGTGATTATATGATAAATATTTACTTAGGAGACAAAAAAAAGAAAGAAGAGAAATAAAAAGGAAATTACTTTGAACTTTAGATAGAGTTGCATGGGAAATTGAGTCACAAAAAAGTTACTGTGTAATTATAGTTAAACCAAATTTATTGATTAAATTTATTTAATTGTTAGATTAATAATGCTTGTGAACTTTTCATGAAGTCTCGATTGATGATCTAATTCAGTATAGTCATTAAATTAACAAGAAGTCTGAATATAGATGAAATTCACTCCTATCTAACATTTGTTCCACAAAGTAAGTTCTTAAATTAGATATAAATCATATTTTTCATAAGAGTAATATTATGTGCACTAAATATGTGTACTAAAATTTGCATCATACAACTTACAGTCGTTGTATCAGTGAATCTCATTACTGATCGAACAGCTGCAGTTGATTTAATACAAATTTTAGTGCATAAATTTAGTCTATAAAAAATTACCTGATTTATATTAACTTGGAATATGAATTTGAGAAAGTGATTTTGTGGGTCAACCACGACCCATGATTGCGTGATGAATGGGCAAAAGGAGATTCCAAACCCATGAGGCATGAGAGAAGGTCATTATCTAGACCAAGACTTTCTACTAATCCTCCCAAACCATAAGAAAGAGTTTCATAAATGTCAAGCGCATTAGGGCCGGGTCAATGGCATAGTCATTAAATTAATTTCCATTTTAGGTCCTCATTTTATGAAAATTTAATCAAGTCTAATATTTAAAATAAAATTTTTAAATGTATTTTCAATTAAGCCCATTTTTATTTTAGTATCCTAAAAAAAAATTAAATTTAAAATTTTTTAAATTTTATTTGGGTTTGTTCATAATTTGTTTATGTTGTTTACGGCAACATAAAGCACCATTTAATTATATGATATTTAGCTTATGTTTTATTATTTATAATTCTGTTTCTTTTCATTGATTATATTAATATTAAATTTAATAAAATTCTATCTTATCATTATATTTGGTAGTACACTTTGTTCGAATTAATTATACTATCTATTTAAAAAAAATATGTCAATAAAAGTTGAACATAAAAATCTGCTTAATATTTTTGCATCTCAAAAGACAATAATATACATAATATTTTATAATAATTTAAATCTTAAAATTTATTTTAAAAATTAACAGCACCTCATTTAAATTTTTGTTTAAAGCCCCATTTTATATTGCGCCACCCACCCGTGCATGAAAGAAATTATTTGGCCTACAAGACTTTTAATTTTTATTCCATCATAGTTTCTATTCCCACCTATTCAAAGGAAGAAGAATATTATTGGGACATAATTTATTTATTTAATTTGTTGATTTAATTTATTATTGTTATTGTATTAAATGTAAGTCCCATCAAATATTAAAAATTAGTTATAATTCAACGATTATTCACATAATTTATTAGTATAATTTAATATTTGTCAATTTAATTCAAATACTAATATTGGCTCAATTTAGTAACCAAATTAGCCTGAAAGTTAGAAGAAGCTTTTGATAATTTATTAGTTTAATTTAATTTTTGAACCTTTTGTTATTATATAAAAATTAGGATTAGCAACTAAAAATACTTTAGATATAATATTGAAATTTTTTAAGTACCATAATTCTATATCGATGAGTTGTTCGTCAGCAATGAAAATTTTCAAATTGGCTCACATTGGCAACAATTTTTTTTTTTTTTGGGTTAAGGTTAAGATATAGACCATCAATCTTAAATTAAATCATGTATAACTACTGATAAAAAAAAATGAAAATAAAAAAATTCACATGGTTCATTTTTATTAATCAAAAACAAAAATTATGGTATCAAAAATATACTTTTCTGTCCAGTAATAGAACTTTCTTCTTTGGTCAAAAATTCAAATTTCAAACTTTTTTTTTTGGTAAATAAATAATTCGAAGTTCATACCCAAAAGATAAGTATTGCTATGTCGAAAACATATTTCTAGACACCACACTTTCATTTTTTAACCAATAACAATATATCAATTGTAAAACATCTGATTTTATAATTTTTTATTACTTATTATTTTTAAATACTAATTGTGTGTTATTATATTTAAAATTAATGATTGAAATTGATGAAAGTACAAATTTATATTTTTCTTGTTTTTGGTGTAGAAGAGCTATGACACTCACTAATTTGCAAAATATCACAATTTATTTTCCAAGATTCAAAAGACTTGTAATTTTTATTCCACCAACCAATTTAGTTTTGTGTAAATTATAACGGATAACTCTAATGTTATGCATTATATGTCATTTCAACCATCAATATTTTAATTATATCAAATTAATTCCTCATATTTTCAATTTGATTTTAAATAATTATGATGCATAATGCTGCTAGTAGATGCTCTATTCACGTGTCTATGAAAAAAATGTCGTTATGCATGAAAATCATTGAAAATCAAATTAAAAATATGAAAGACTAATTTAATGTAATTAACATATTAAAAACTAAAATAACATACAACACATACATTGGAAAACTCCATAACAATTAACCCATTTCGTTTTCAAGTCCAAGAATGGGTTTTTATTCCACCATTCAATGTTATTGATGGTGAAAACTGAAAGGAAAAGGAAACGACATTGTCTTAGTTTTCCTCTGGTGTGAATAACGGGCAGATTTTAAGGAAGAATCATATGTGTCCCACACCACCATTAAAGCTTCACGTGGGTCCAATCAAAAGGGACAATTTCTTACCGTCTTTAATTGGGATACATACCTCAATATTATATAACACAAATTTGTAATTTAAATTTATATTTTAAATGAAAGGGGATTATTAAATGAGTATATTCCATCAACATTTTTAAATAGGACCCACTGATTCAATAATATCTCTTCATTTGGGATACAAATTTAAATTGCAGATTTTGGTTACATAGCATTATTCAATTTTTCCTTGAATTTTGCATCACGAAAAAATAGAAGGACTCACTTTATCCAAATTTTT